TATTCAGCATCTTCTTAAAGACTTCCAGTGTTGGGGCATTCACAACTTCCGGAGGCAACTTCTGTTCCACTGATTGAATGTTCTCACTGTCATTATTCCTCCTGCTTTTCTCTTTCAGGCGGTGAAATCAAAGACTGGTCCTGGAGAATACCTGCGTAACTCACTCTGGCACACAGGGGACACAGTTGACCAGGTCAAGTTGTTGTGGAAGGACCCTCGGAACGTCGGCTGGAAAGATAAGACTTCGTACCGCTGGTTCTTACAGCACCGGCCCCAGGTGGGCTACATCCGGTAAGGAAAGACCGATAGAATCTCTTGCAGACGTTTCATTACCCAACTAGGTAACTTCATCAATGCACTTGACTGCACTTGGAAATATAGGCTGCTTAGGGCTGTTTGCAGCGTTCCATGGCTACGCGACTATATGTTTTATGAGAGTTTTGCTGAAAACTGGCACTTCCAGTGCCCCATAGCAGACAGTGGGGTTTGTTTAATAACCACAGTGTTTAACAACTGGTGCAAAAAAAAAAAAGGTTGTAAAATTGGGTCGATATTATTCCATTTTGCAACCGTTAGGACTTGGGTTGTAACTGCAGGATGATCTGTAGTCATGACTTTTTTGAAGAGAATTTTATATCATTCTAAGATTTCCAAACTGACTTTCAAGAGAACATTGATAGTTTAACAGTTTGTAGAACACTGAAGTCTTTTAGAAGATGCCGAGAGATAAAATTTTTCTTCAGAGATTTCCTGAAGTTTGTCAAAATTTCCTCCCAACATTTTACAGCTGCATTTTGTCAGCTGAAGCAATGACATCTCTTAAATTCCTTTGTGAAGTGGTGGAAAATACCTTAAGAGTTGCTCAGAAAGTCTTCAGCAGGCCCTACAGGAGGCTATTTCCCCTTATTAAAAGATATTTATCTGCAACAGAAGGCTCTGAATTATTTACATAATTAATGGGCTATCAGCCTTAGTTTATCCCTTTTCCAGTTTCAAGATAAACTTTCAAAGTAGTCCAAGGTTTAGCTGTGGTGTTTTATTCGACACCAGGAGTCTTACAGGATAGGGTCAAACATATCAAGATGGTGGCCAATGATAGTGCAATTGAAGTCCCACTCACTTCTATGTGCATCACAACGCACACAAAATGGGTGGAGCTTTCTTGCACATCACTGTTTTGACCTAGGCTTCCCAAGAGCATGCAGCAAACTCCTTGTCCCAACAAAAAACCCTTTTATTAATTGACTGTGAATTCTGCTCATCCACATCCAGCAAAGACTTTCAAGGGAGGATTTACAGTCACAGACCTTATCTGGCTTGGAGAACTGCCAGGCCGATATCTGCAAAACTTGGCAAGGAGTCTCGGAGAGTCACGAACCAATTAAGCCAACTAATCGTCTCCTGCAAACTCCACTCCCTTTTCGCTCTTCTTTTATTTCCTCTGGGAGAGGTCAATCATTGTCCACCTGTGGCCTTCCTCCCAAGTCGACCCCTGTTCTTTAGCTGTTCCTTTCGTATGGCAATTCTGAAGGCAGCTGATAACTGTCAGAGGGCCCTGGCCCCCTCTCTGCCTCCGATACAGAGCCCTCATCAGAGCCTTCCTCAGATTCCAGGACTGGCCCATGTTCCACCCCAACCTCCTCATTGTCCGAATCTTTTGCCAGCTCCTCTGGCTGCTGGCAGACCACAACAATCACATCTAGGACTCAGGATAAACCTTGTGACTCTTAGGAATAAGCTAACTCCTTCTCCTGATTTGTACTTCAGGACTCGGTTCTATGAGGGGTCTGAGATGGTGGCCGACACTGGCATTGTCCTCGACACAACCATGCGAGGGGGCCGTCTGGGGGTCTTCTGCTTCTCCCAGGAAAACATCATCTGGTCCAACCTGCGGTATCGCTGCAATGGTGAGTGAGGCTCGACCCAATCCTGTCATTGGGTCCCCAGAGCCACTGACTCCATTCGAGGGAGGTATCGGAGCATCAAGAGCAATGGCTAGAATGCAGTCCTGCTGGGCTAACTCACTGCTCACTCCGGGAGTTCGATTCTGAGCAGCTGAAGGTTGACTCAGCCTCCCACCCTTCCAAGGTTGATAAAATGAGGACCCAGATTGTTGCGGACCCAATAGGCTGACTCGGGGAGGGGAGTATATAAATCTATCCCTGGAGGAAGCATAGTCCACAGCTGGAGGATCTGCATTCACGCTCCAGAGGCTGCCTTGCTCTGGATGGTGCAGAGGCCTTTGGCATCCGTCTGAGGGGTTCCCCCCGGGAGCCCCCATAACGTCAGAACACCTAAGCCTGCATTCAGCTGCTGACTTTCCCTTCTGGTTCACATGCTCCACTCTTCTTCTTCTCTTTCTTAAGACACGATTCCTGAAGACTACGAGGCTTACCGGAACCAACACGACTACTAAATGCTACTGCCGCCGGCTGAAAAAGAGACTTGTTGCACCCGCGCTGCTTCTGCTCCCTTCAAGATATAGCAAATGGTGAATTGTCTCTTCGTACGTGGCAAGCACCGTGTCCAGCAGCCCCTGTAGCATCCCCACTACCCTTTCTAGAAGCAACCTCACCCGAGATCTGCTTCCACAGGACTCTGAAAATTCTCATTTTTTCTCGACATAGCGCAGAAGAGCCGTTCCTGCTCCGTGGCAGCTGCTAACAAGTCCACAAGGATGGACTTAACTAGGGGACCCTCCTGGAAGGCTGAAGGGTCACCACCAGAGATGTGGCTTTCTTGGGCATCCTCCCCTGGGTTGTCTCCTGCCCTTGTCTTGCATCCTTTTGGGTCAGCCACCACTGATGCTGAGGTGGGACATGGGCAGCCACCCATTGTGGTCTCCTGGATTTCACTCCATGACCTCTGCAAGAGGAGGAAGGGGCCTCATATGTATGTATATATGTATATGTATGTATATGTATATATACAGGTGGTCTTCAACTGACAATTGAGCCCCCGCATTTCTGTTGCCAACCAAGACGTTTGTTAAGTGACTTATGCCCTATATTTTATGACATTTCTTGCCACAGTTTTTAAGTGAACAACTGCGTTTGTTAAGTTAGTTATCACGGTTGTGAAGTGAATCTGGCTTCCCCATTGACTTTGTTTGTCAGAAGGTCGCAGGTGATCACATGACCCCGGGACGCCACGACGGTCATAAAATATGAACCAGTTGCCAAGCATCCAAACCCCCCCAACCATGGGGATGCCGCAACAATCGCGTGAAAAATGGCCCTAAGCCACTTTTTCCAGGGCTGTTGCAACTTTGAACGATGGCTAAGCAAATGGCTAAGTCAAGCTGAGGCTTCCGTTTGATGCAGGAATTCACCAGCGCCACTCCCAACAGCTGATGGGAATCTGCCTGGTTTGGAAGCCACGCGGGCGGCCTTCAAAACTTCCAAGCATTTTGGGCAGGGAGCAAAACCTTAATAGTAGAATGCCGGCTTTGCACAGAGAAGGAAGTCCACGGGGGTCACACCTCCAGTTAAGAGGACCAGAGAGCAAGTGATGAGCAAGTCTCTCTTGGCTTAAGTGCTGGAGAGTAAGTGCTTCCTGGGCTAGAGCCGATCTTGGACAAGGCAGTTTTCTAAACTTATTCACTTAACCCAATAATCCAAGATGAGTGGCTTGTTCCACTAGAGCAGGGGGTCTCCAGCCTTGGAAACTTTAAGACTTGTGTACTTCAACTCCCAGCGTTCCTTGAAGTCCACAAGTCTTAAAGTTGCCAAGGCTGGAGACCCCCTGCATTACTAGAGCAATATTTCTCATCCCTGCTGACTTGAAGATGTGTGGACTTCAACTCCCAGCATTCTATTCAACCCAGCTATGCTGGCTGGGGGATTCTGGGAGTTGGAAGTCCACACATCTTCAAGTGGCCCAAATTGAGGGGGGAATACTGCATTTAAAAAAATGCAGCTCTTCATTGTTTAGGAGAAATTCGGAGAGATGTTTGTACAAATACAGACTTGTTTGGTTAATAAAATAAGATTTGTCTACCCAAGGTTAAGCTGTATTTATTATCTGCCGCTGCTCCTTTCAGAAGAGGGTTTGGAAAAGGAAGGGGGGAGGGGAAAAGAAAAGCTAGTTAAGCATTCAGCACAGGAGATGCACTTCGAAACGACAAAAACGTCTCTATTTTTTTTTTTTTTAATATATAAAACACTTCGATGAAACATTCTTTCAGAAAAGCAGAGCTGAACAGCCGGAGAGAAAAACAGCTTAACTTTATTACATTTCATTTACAAATAATGCAAAGTTACAAAGACAAAAAAAAAAAAAAAAAAAAAAAGCCTTCACGGAAAAAAAGGGAAACAAACAAACAAACGAACGAAAAAGAGAAGTTGAAAAGAATGTGCACAGGATTTTGCTTTTGTTTCCCCCCCTCCCCACATCGTCATGTTCTTAAGTTTGCAAAAGGAAGAACACACGCACACACATACATACATACACACACGCACACGCTTACAAAGCCATCTTCAGGGTTTTTTTTTTTTTTTTTTTTTTGCCAAGAGAGAAAAAGCCACAATAAATTAAGCCTCAATGCTCCAGAGTTCGCAACATTTTACTCCTGCCCAAGTCCTCCCCCCTCCCTCCCTCCCTCCCGCCCCTCTCCCAGAAAAACCTGTAGCTCAACGGTAGGATTTGCATATATCGGTAAAGTCATTCTGCTAGTCCTCATGGATAAAAAAAACAAAACCCCTGTAAACAGGATGTTACACAGTTCAAATACAAAATAAAAATAAAAATAGACTGTTCCCTTCCCCCTTCAGTTCACCCCCAAATATGAAGTGTATATGTTGTTTTAGCTGCCTGTCAATAGGAGAAGCTGCTCTGGGAGATAAATTTACATTATTCAAAGAAAACTTCTTTTTTCGGGCTTTCAGATACCCCCGTAAGAAATTTAGGGGGGGGGGGGACACATGAATTTCCTCCCCCAAAGAAAGCCATGTCTTAAAGAGCTACCACGCTACAGCTAGAAATAATTAGATTTTAACTTGCTAACTTTAGCTTAATGTTCTGGATGCTTCCAGTAATACAGAACTTGTACTACGAACACAGATAAACGTTAAATGCGTGACTGCTTATGCCCACAGTTAGGAACTACTCAGTGGTGGGATCCTCCTGGTTTAACAACCGGTTAAAATTGCTGTGCGCAATTTGAAGAAATCTTCACTTCCAGGTTTCTTCGGAGAAACAGAGCTGATTCGCGCGGCAAGCCACTCTGCCGCGCGAATCAGCGGAGGAGATAAAGGTAGGAAAATAGCACAGTCGGACAGGTGGGCCCATCGCTCCCAGCTGAGCTACCGGTTCACCCAAACCAGTCCTAACCGGTCGAATCCCACCCCCTGGAACTACTTATGGTGGAAAATATTGCATTCCCCAAGAAAGAAATGCAAAGCCTATAGAATAAATACTGGTTGTTCTGAACTGCAGTGGCCTCTCAGTTTTATCCCCAATTCAAAATAAATTCTGTGGAATCGGTGGGCACTTCAAGCACCGATTCACATCAACTGTTTGTGCTGGAGGCGCTGGGAAAGTCTGCAGTCCGTCCGTCCCCCGTCCTCTCTGCATCTCATTTTCACTGCCTTTGATCCACAACAACAACCAAGAGACAGTATATGAAGGCCACACACCTTATAGTCAAGTCCCTTTGTTTTGTTTAGTCTCTCCCCCCCACAACCCGGAAGCTTCCTACAGAATAATAAATAACCTTCCTTTCACAGCAAAAAAAGCCCCCCCAAACCTTCCAAAAGAAAAGGAACGACACGAGCAGAATTGCAAAGAGTCCTTTTGCCTACAATTATTAGCAGCTGAAGAAATTTAGTCGTGACCTTTCAGAAACAGAACGCAAAATCATCTCATATAACCTACAGTATATTGACACTGATATGCAGCTGTATCGGGACGAAGAAGACACACACAACTAGTGGTGCAACTACTCCTTATGCTTTTCCACAATCCACTAAAACAAGATCAATTTTTTTAATGAAGTCCCCCCCCCCCAAATCCATGGACAGAGCCAAGGCTTGGAAAAGGCCGAGCAGAGTTCTCACCTTAGATCTCCAACCCTTAAAATTAGATGTGGCCCCTTCCCCTTTCCAAAAAGCCAAGTTTCCCTCTATCTCTGGAGCTTCGCAGTCACCCTGGCTGTCCCAAAGCGTGACCCGTCAAAAGCACGGAGGAGAAAATCGCGCTCGACGAAAGCGTGCATGTGACGTCATCACAGTGCGACGAAAAAAAT